GTTAAGCTGAAAATACCTCAAATGCAATTTTATTACTTGTCTCTCCAAAACATAACCATTAACAAACGAAAACAATTAAAGATAACATGTCTCCAACGACGGATAATATTTCAAATACGATATGCTCCACGATCGTGGCAAAAACCGCCCCTATATATTCCATTAGCTCGTCCGGGAAGCTAATTCCCAATTCTTGCTTCTTCTCCCGACGGGAGCACTCAGGCAGGTCATCACTCTTCCTCTTATGCTGCGCCTCGGCCGTCTTCAATGTGACCTCATAGCACCGTCGAGATTGCAACTGGTCTCCAGTCACCTCCCCAACCTCATCCCCTACGGGGAATTTGATCTTCATGCAATAAGTCGAAACTTCAAGTTCCAAACTTTAAGGTGGCCAGGCTCCTCTGCACCTGTACCTCAGCCACCTAATTAGCCACACCCTTACCCCGGTAAGTCCTCTTCTTCTCTCTGTGTGAGTCTCCATCCGTAAGACCTCCCGCGATCATGTATATTACACCTTTCTTCACCGGTCTGTCAGGCTGCTCATCAGTTCTCCGCCGCTTGTCCCCTGACTCACGCTCCTCCCGGCGATCTTCTCGGCGCTCCCTATCCTGGATCACGAACTCCTTCAAATGACTGGCCCTAATGAGCCGCTCAATCTCATCCTTCAACTCTCGACAAAAGTTAGTAGAGTGACCATAGTCTCGGTGGTACCGACAATATCTATCCTTTCCTTCTAAAAATTTCCGCGGTGGGGGTAGGGGCTTTGGTTGTGCAAGTAGCTTATCCTCCCCCCGCTTCTCCCATCTCTAGGATCTCCTGTTGTGGAGCATTAAGTAGTTTGTAGTGCTCGTACCTCGAACCCCTGAATCGATCCTCGACCCGAGACTCCTTAAGGGGAGCTCGTCGATCACCTTGTCGAGGCCTTTCCTCAACCTGCTTAGCCTTTATTTTATCATTCCGGATGAAGTCCGCCTCCGATTCCTCCATATTCACATACTTGCTACACCTCTCCAAGAGCTCGTCAAATGACCTTGTCGGCCGCTTCGCCAAGGAATCCCTGCATTTCCCAGGCCTCAATCCTCGAGTAAGGCCTCCAGCTTTTACCTCTTCCGAGGCAGAGGGGACCTCCACGCACTCCTTAGTGTACCGCGCTACATATTGCCGCAGGGTCTCCCCCTCCTTCTGCTGCATATTTATCAACGAGAGGTACGTCTTCTCATGCTTCCTGGCACTCGCAAATTGATTCAGAAACAGAGAGCTGAACTTCTCAAAGCAATCGATAGATCCTGCTGACAGCTGATGGAACCAATCCTGCGCCGACCCCTTTAATGTCGTCAAAAAGGCTCGGCAACACACAACATCACTATACCTGTGCAGCACAGCTATGTTGTCGAACGATCTCAAGTGCCTGGCTGGGTCCGCCGACCCATCATAGGACAAACTCAACTCCCTGAAGTTGCTAGGCAAGTCCCCTCCTAGGACATCCTCTGCAAAAGGGTGTCCCCGCGAAACCACAGGTCTCTTACCCTGCACCCGGGCTTGGAGTTCCCGCATTTGAGCTGCCAACCTCTCCAAAGTCACCCCCTCCGGTTGTGTCATTGCCACCGGGCGGGAGGTCACCGACCTGGCATCATCCTCGTCGCCCCTCTCCACGCGCTGGTGCCGCTGATGCAAGGGGACCTGTTGTTGAGGTGCTAGTGGCTGCCGTGGCGGAGGTTGTCTAAATGACTCATTCGGAGCTCTCTTATCCACCTCCTGAGCCCGGCCTATCGCTTCCGCAATAATCCTGTCCAACTCCGACCTGGTCATCTGAACAACCGGGCCCTCCCGCGGTGCCGAAGAAACATTGTCTCCCGGAGGGTTTTGTGCTCCCACCTCGACCAACTGCCTACTACCAAGGGCACCGTTATGATCACCCGCACCTCCGGATCCCAGGGCTCCTTGATCCACCCCCCCGTCAACCGTGGCACCAACCTCCTTCCCCTTGTCTGTCAAACCACCCGATCCTCCCGTGATTGCCGCACGCCCCTGGGCTTCTGATGGTGGTATCGGGGTCGCGCCCGGCCCAACAACGTCTCTTTGGGGGTGACAGGCGATGATGACCAGCCCGGCGGGGGACCTGTCCCGAAGGCCCTCCGAGCCCACTCTTCATCCATTTCCTTAGCCAAGTTCTTCTTCGAATTATCTCCCGCCATGACGTCGATTGCTCTTCTTCTGGTGAGAATAAACAACCCTTAAAACTCTGGTAGAAGACTGAGTTTCCCCACAGACGGCGCCAATTTGTTATACCACAAATACTCGAACTGCTGGACCGCTCCTCTCGAACCGGGTTGCGTCTCCTTGGTCGTCGGTACCTGTAAAGCACGCCGGGGGTGGTCCCGGCGCGAACACTCCGACGCTCAAGTCAGTGATGGTCTAGAGAGAAAACGGCAGAGTAACGAGATAGTTCGTGAATGTGTGTTGTGTAAAATGAATGAACCTGCTCCCTTTTATAAGAGAAATTTGGAGAGTCCCATGGGATAAGAAGTCTTCTTCACATAAAACTCTTAATTAGGTTAAAGGTCTTCTGAATCCCGAGAGTCCTTGTTGCTACTAACTTCTCCGTAACTTGATCACAAAGTCACCTTCAGGTTCTAACCTCCTCGACGCACACGAGGACTGCCGGGCGCACGAGGACCACCGACCACCTCCCAAGGCCGAGCACCCACCAAGCACTTTCCAAGGTCGAGTACCCGCCGAGCATCATCCCAGTTCGAGCACCTCGTGCTGAACACGCGTCACCGAAGGCCTTGCGCCGGGCACCTCCGCCGAGTATCTAGTGCCGGGCACCCCACATGCCGGGCACTACCTACGCCGGGCACTCCTCATACCGGACACTTATCTCATGCCGAGCATTCGCCACTCTCCGGTCACTCACCCAACCGCCCGACTACCACAATGCCGAGCTGGTCCTCTTCATAAGGTAGTAATGACCGGATCACAACCGGTTCCTCATGAGCCGCTATTGACGACTATATCAATATATGTTTATAATATATGACACATTGTGAATTATTTAACTACTACATAGTAAAATGTGATTTCTTTTAGAAAATAATATAAAATTTTGTATACCTTATATTAATGTTTCCCTAAATCCATTTACACACTAGTAAAATAATACTACACATGAAAACCTATTTTCACACACATACTTAGCTTTCTTTTTTTAGAAATAAACAAATTTTTGATGTTGGGTAATGACTTCCACAAACTAGAAACAATATTATCCATCACCACCACCACCTACGCTGAAGACTCGCTCCTTTGCTGAAAACACCTTAATTTATGTCTTCTTATGATGAAACACTTTGTCCATCTAACTATTTTGTGTCTTATTTCTTCAAACCATTATATTGTCTCTTTCAATTCTTGTTTAACTTCATTTATTTATTTTCATTTATTTATAATTACCAAAAGGATAGTTCATTCTCCCCCGCCATGGATGAAGAGTATGATGTCATCGTTCTAGGCACGGGTCTCAAGGAATGCATTCTCAGTGGTTTACTCTCTGTTGATGGCATGAAAGTAAGCCCAATCAACTTCTAGATTCTATTTTTTTTTCGAATTTTATTTTGAGATGTGTTTGGTATCATGATTCTAAATTTATTGGACTACTTCTCACTCACTAAGTTTTAATATTTCTCACATTTCATATGTTGTCTTCTCTATTTATTTATTGGTTCATTTTATTTTATTCATGCATGCCAATCACTTTATTGTATATTAGGGAGGTCATTATCTTCCTTTTTTTTTTTTTTTTTGTCTTTTGGCTATTGGTAATCTAATTGATTCGTGATGAAATACATTTTATTTGATTATATGTTAGAAAGTTTCTGCGCAAAATTAAAAAAAAAAATACATGGTACTAAGTTTCATAATTTTAATAAATTTTGTTGGTCTTTCAAACAGGTACTCCATATAGACAGGAATGAATATTATGGAGGAGAGTCCACCTCACTCAATTTGAATCAGGTAAATGTTTTAGAGAAAGTAGAAATTCATATTATTGGTTTATTTTTACTAAGTTATTTCAATTGATCCACCTTAATGCATTAAATCAATTTATTTATTTTTCTTTATTTAGCTTTGGAAGCGCTTTAAGGGAGATAATCAGCCTCCAGAGCAATTTGGCGCCAGCAAAGAGTACAATGTGGATATGATTCCAAAGGTATAACTTCAAAAATTACATGAAATAGTATGGTTTATTTATTTTATTTTATTATTTTTAACATTTATTCTTAAGATATGCATTTCAATATTTCTATACAGGTACATGTAGATTACTCGTAACTTTTCTTTTTTCTTTTATAAATGTCAAGCACATCCAATGTTTGGTGATATTGGTGTTTGTTGAACTCTTTTATTTGAAATGTTTTTAGTTTATGATGGCAAATGGAACTTTGGTACGTGTGCTCATTCATTCAAATGTTACCAAGTACCTCAATTTTAAGGCAGTAGATGGTAGTTTTGTCTACAATAAGGGAAAGGTATATATTGCTACTTATACTTTGATATTTTCGATCAAATATAAGTTGTACTTATATTTAGTTTGCATATATTTCTTGTCTAATTGTTATTCTCAAAAAATTATTGTACAGATTTACAAGGTTCCGGCAACTGATGTTGAGGCACTGAAATCACCATTAATGGGGTTATTTGAAAAGCGTCGTGCTCGAAAGTTCTTTGTGTTTGTTCAAGATTTTGATGAGAGTGACCCCAAAACTCATCAAGGGATGAACTTGGACACAATCACTGCAAAAGAACTTATTGCGTTAGTTTTTTCGTACTTATCCACTATTTATCACTATGTTCACTTGTCATTAACACAATTTGATCATATATTTAGAATTCTGGAAGGTTATGTTTCACGTTAGATTTGATTATTTATAGATAGATCTATGCATTATTCTTTTTTTACTTGATTAATGTTGACTAATTTCCATCATTTTCTCTATAATGCAGAAAATATGAACTGGAAGATGACACGATTGATTTCATAGGCCATGCTCTGGCTCTCCATATTACTGACAGTTACTTAGACCAGAAAGCTCTCGATTTTGTGAAGAGAGTGAAGGTGTATACTTATTCAACAATTCTAGCCTAATATCATTTTATTTGATTCAGGCCATCTTAAGTTGGAAGTTCTTGTTGAAATAGTTGTATGCAGAATCTTTGGCACGCTTTCAAGCTGGATCTCCTTATATATACCCACTATACGGACTCGGCGAACTGCCCCAGGCATTTGCACGTCTAAGTGCAGTTTACGGTGGGACTTACATGCTAAACAAGCCTCAATGTAAGGTAAGTTAATATCTTTTCTATTTTTTTTTTTTATTTTTTAATTTAACATCATGAGTCTGGTTTTGACTACACTTCTCATCTAAAAGCAACATTTTATGTGGCTATTCCCTAACTCATTTGTTCAATTTTATTAAACTAAGTCTACAAGTTATGTGAAATTTACAGGTTGAGTTTGATGAAAGTGGAAAAGCAATTGGAGTAACATCTGAAGGAGAAACGGCCAAATGCAAGAAAGTCGTATGTGACCCATCATATTTACCTGATAAGGTAACTTTTAGCCATTTGTGAATTAGTTGGGCATCTTTTATCATGATAAAATGAATACGATTAATATAGATTCAGTAACAGGTCCAAAAGGTTGGAAAGGTTGCTCGTGCCATTTGCATTATGAGTCATCCAATCCCGGACACCAATGAGTCTCACTCGGCCCAAGTCATTCTCCCACAAAAGCAACTTGGTCGTAAATCTGATATGTATGTGTTCCAACTTAATCATATATCTTTTTCAGTTAAAAAAGATTTTTAAATGTTCTACCTTTCTACATAATATTTAGGAGATAGTATATGCACATACTTGAGCCCCCAAGATCTTTAAATTTAGATGTAATTATACGTATCATGCTGGGTGTTTTCACTAAATATTATAAGAAAATATATTATTCAATTATCTTCTGAAAATTAAAATTGAAGTATCCAGGTGGCCTTAGATCTTTTCTTTAAGAGAAAGTTTTGTTCTTGTATCTGAACTTTACATCCACGATTACGGCTCAATTTATGGTTCAAACCTCTTTTTTATTTTTATTATTATTCTCTTTTAATTTCCATCGATTCAACTACACAAGAGTAGAGATAAAAAAAACAATCATATGAATTCAATGTTACTCACAAGACAAATTAATTATCAAATTTGTATTCTTCCATGATACAAACTTCGAAAGAGCTACATATCAACCTTTGATGTTACTTACAGGTACTTGTTTTGTTGCTCATATGCTCATAATGTGGCCCCAAAAGGTAAATTTATTGCATTTGTTCTCACGGAAGCCGAGACTAACAATCCCGAGGCTGAACTTAAGCCTGGAGTCGACCTTCTTGGACCAGTCGATGAAATATTTTATGAAACTTATGACAGATTTCAACCCACTAATGACAATGACATTGATCATTGTTACATATCCACAGTGAGTTCTAAACACACATGAACAATTTGGTTCAAATTCTTTCAGAGCTTTATTCTCGATTAATTCTTACTTTTTTCCACCATGTTGTAGAGTTATGATCCGACAACACACTTCGAGACCACAGTAACAGATGTGCTCGCTATGTACACCAAGATAACTGGAAAAGTAAGTTTTAAATTGATTGCCCTTTCTTTAATTAGCTTATACATAAACTAGAAAGTTATAAGTGATACTGATTATTTGTTTCGTTTTCCAAACACAACATAGAACATAGAGATATTTAGAACCAAAGTTTTTGACAAGATGACAAAAGTAGGAATTTCTTTTTTTTTTTTATGCTTTTTAAATTTTTACATCAGATAATTTGTGTTGTCATCTAGTTCGCATGCCATCTAATCAATATTGTTTCTTCATTTATTTTTCTACGCGTGATGATAAAACAAATCATAAAAAATCAATATAAGTAATTATTAACTTTCAAGTTACACTTTCATTTCCCATTCAAGGCTCTAAATTTTGAGTTTCATTGTTTCTTACAATTTGATTTTAATCTAGCTCACTTTCTTGTGATATTTTGTGTTAGGTTCTCGATTTATCCGTGGACTTAAGTGCAGCTAGTGCTAGTGCTGAGAAATAAGCTCCTTGTCCATGACCTCAGTTTTGAATATTTTAATTGTTATTTCATTTTCGTTAACATTATTATGCATCCAACTTATTGACATGATATTGGATACCGACTTTGGACCTCACACTTTTAATGCATAAGTGTAGTGTATCATTTAGATAATTATATCTTTGATTTTTTATCTTTTATCATCTCTAGTTTTTTGTCAAACTTTTTGACAATTCCCAGTCCTCGTGTTTTAGAAATTTGATTTTTAATCAAAGATGTCAGAAGTAGTTGGATGATCGCCGCAGACAATTTTCTATTTGATTGTTTTTACTTTGAATTCGTGTTTTTACGTTGATTGTGAACTCTAATGTTCCCCAAATATTTTTTAAGACCAAGGCAAAATATCTATATCCCGCCCACATGTGAGACCGAACGTGGGTGGGTACATTAAGTGAATGGAGTTTTTCTACTCGTGGGTGGATAAATTCCTGGAGAACGGTTTTTCTATCCGTGGGTGGATAAATCCCTCGAGAAGGGTTTTCCACCTAAGGGCGTGGCCTTTGACCCGCGAGTTCCGTGGTGGAAGCCAACATGTGGGTGAATAATGAGAATTGTGATGGCTGAGCCGCAATGAGGCCAAGCCATGGGTGGATCATGAATATCGGTATGATTGAGCCGCAGATGAGATGTGAGCCACAAATGAGATCTTAAAACTTGGGACCATGAATTCGCCAGTGAAAGTACGATTGGAAATGGTCCTTGGTCATCAGAAATGTCACCATAAATGGACCGGATGGCCAAAAATGCCACTAGAAGGTTACTGGAAAATGCGATAGATAATTTTGTAGGCATTATTGGTTTCCAGAAAGTTTTGGATGTTTAAAAAGTTTGTTCGGCTTCTTGAAATCTTTGTCAACGACTGTTAGATGGCCTAGTGTTGGGTCGTTGCTAGGCTAGCTCACCCGCTGCTTGCCATCGCTTGCAGGTGAGTGATGCGTACAGTACTGGAAGTCCACCCATGGGTGGATGCCTTGTTGGGCGTGCAATTTTTCGGACACTCAGTGTCACCTGATTCTTGGTGTGCTTGGCCTTAATAAGTGCTAGACGATATACTGCTGCATGCAATGCTGGGTTTAAGGTGTCATTGAGAGAGTTATGCGCTTTGTGTGGGTATTCGATGCAGAATGGACTGTGATGATGGGCATGTGACGTTGCCTGGCATACGGGTACGACGTACTATGTACCCGACACTTAGTGCTAACTGGCCAACAGAGTCTGGTTTTCAGGCAGCTGTCGTCTGAGAGCACGAGATGGGCATTGCGATACAGATGTACGTGGCCAGGGGCAATCCATTAGCAAGAGTAAACTATCTTGGATGCATTTTTCCACAAAATAAAATATAAAATGATAGAAAAAAAATACACAAAAATGCAAAAATAGCCAGACAACGACTAAATAGATCGCGAAAACCTAAAATAAACTCTAATGAGCTCCATCAAGTGCATAAAAATATGAAAAATAACGACAAAAACACACCAAACAATAATAAACATTTTTGTAAATATTTTAACCATTTTAAAAGGTATAATTTTTAAATTTATAAGTATACATGTATATTTGGTTTATAAAATATGACAAATTATTAATTTTGTAACTTCAACATAGGGCTAAGCACGGGACTCGGAGAATTCTGAACCGTTCTGAAAACCGAACTGAAATCACTCCGAATCGAAAAATAACGGTTGACTCTTTGACTTTCTCCGAACCGAACAGAAAAATAATTGGTATGGTTCTGGAGATTTCACAAATATCTGTACCGAGAATCGAACCGAACCGTCTCATACCGTACCAAACCGAAGAACCGAATTATAACATTAGATGTGTGTTATTAATATATTTTATGTCATTTTTGATCCTATATAATTTGAGAATTTTTAAAATACAAATAAAATAAAATATGACAATAACAATTAAACTTCACTTTAATTTCATGCTTAGTAATACTTGATCTACAATTAAATTTTTTCTGTTATAAAACAATTATTTAAAATGGTATGAAAGGTAAAGTATATAATTCAGTAATAAATGCAAAAGGTCGGAAATGTTGCTCGTGCCATTTGCATTATGAGTCATCCGATTCCAGACACTAATGAGTCTCACTCAGCCCAAGTCATTCTTCCTCAAAAGCAACTCGATCGTAAATCAGATATGTATATGTTCCAAATTAATAATCCATATCTTTTTCAATTGTAATATATTTAAAATATTCTACCTAGAGGTAATTGGAAATACTAATAAATATGATTTAATTAAATTTATAAGAAAATGATAACTCGATTCTCTATAGAAAATTAAAATACCCAATTGGCACAGGTTCTTTTGTTATGATATAATTTTAAAGGGAATGTTTTGTTGTTATTGTATCTAAACTATAAATTCCAAAGTTTTTGTGGTTCTCTTTATCATTTAAACCTCGATTATTTTATTTATTATTTTCTTTTATTAATTTCTATTTCAACTTCGATGTTACTCAAATAACGAAATATCAATTTTCTTTTTTCCATGATACAAACTTGTATAAAACTATCAACTTGTGATTGTTACACGTATTTGTTTTGCTGCTCGTGTGCTCAAAACATGTCCCCAAAAGAAAAATTTATCGCATTTGTTCTAATGGAAGCCGAGATTGACAATCTCGAGGTTGAACTTAAGCCTGGAGTCGACATTCTTGGATTGGTCGATGAGATATTTTACGAAACTTATGATAGATTTCAATCCACTAATAATAGTGACAATCATCACTGTTACATTTTCCACTGTGAGTTATATAGACTCCATTCTATTTATCATGACAGGGATAATTTCAAAATTGGTCCTATAATTTGGCCACAGTCCAAAAAACCACCCCTATATTGACCACTTTCAAAATTGGTCCTATAATTTCAGAATTTAATCAAATTTGGTCCTTTTTTAATCAAATTTGGTATTTTTTTTAATCACATTTTAATCCATGTTCCGGATAAAAAGGACCAAATTTGATTAAATTTTGAAATTATTGGACCAATTTTGAAAGTGGTCAATATAGGGGTGTTTTTTGGACTGTGGCCAAATTATAAGACCAATTTTAAAATTATGCCTATCATGGCATGAATCAAAATGCCACCACATTGTGCCTTATAGGCTCTCGTCAAGATAAAGGCTAAATACACACACACACACACAAAAGAATGATTTCAAGTTCCTTGATTACTATATTTCAATTAATGCTTACTTATTTTAACCATGTTGCAGAGTTATGATCCGACAACACACTTTGAGACGACAATAACAGATGTGTTGACTATATATGTACACCAAGATTACTGGACAAGTAAGATATAAATGGATTGATTATTTGTTTTCATTTGCCACACACAGCATAAAGTAATTAGATATTTGAAATCGAAGTCCTTGACAATGATATTGCTTTACATTTTAAATATTTACAAAGAATAAATTTGTTGTCACCAATTTTGTATGACATGTTACCAATTTTGTTGATTCTTTTTTTCTCTACACGAGAAAATAAAGCAAATCATAATAAATATATATAAGTATTTATTACAGTTCAAGTTACTCTTTCGTTTCTTATGTAGAGCTTTCACTTTTTAGTTTCATAGTTGCTTACAAGTCGATTTTAATCTACCTTGTGATATTTTGTTTCAGGCATTGTTCCAAAAATCGGCCTAGGCGGTGCCCAGGCGCCTCCGATTTGTACAAATGGGTAGAAAAAATAGGCCAAGCGCCTAGGCGCTCCTAGGCGGGCTCGGCGACGAGGCGGTTAGGCAGCGCCTAGGCGGGCATAGGAAGAACTAGGCGGGCTCGGCGCCAATTTTTCAGTTTTTTATTTTTTTTATTTTTTTTATTTTTTAAATATTAATTACATTATCTTGTTCTCATGTTTTCTTTAAAATATATTTATTTTATTATTTGAACTTAGACGTGTCGCTTTATTATTGGTTGAGATAATTTTATTTTGTAGGTAGTCAATATAAATCAAGAATAAGGTATTTAATATTGATTTCTAGGTCCCGATTAGGCACCGCCTAGGCGCTCTAGGCGCTAGGCGTTGGTCGAGCGCCTAGCGGGGCGCCTAACGACTTTTAGAACACTGGTTTCAAGTTCTCAATTGGTTTGTGGACTTGAGTGCAGGTAGCGCTAGTGCTGAACAATATGCTCCTTATCCATGTCATTGAAGCCTTTTGATGTTCTCTCATTTTGCTTAACATTATTAGGCACCCAACTTATTGGCATAAGATTGGATCCCGACCTTGGAACCCTCACTTTCTAATGCAAAAAAACATAGCATATGCTTTTAATGAGCTTCTATATAGAATTTATCTTTGATTATTCTCTTTTTTTTTTTTCTTTTGTTAGTGTCTTGACAAATTTTTTTGCAATTTTCAATCACATATTTCCTTGTGTTAGGTTTCATTGTCATGGAAAACACGTTATCATTTATTTTATTTGGACAATCAAAGTACTTAATTTTACTGTATGATAATTTAAGTGTTGAAAAGAGACTAGCCACCAATGTTGAAAATAGAATAGCAATAAAAGGAGTAGCCACCAATGCTGCTTTCTTTGAAATTTGATGCATTTTTGCATCTATAAATAGAAATCAAATGGGGGCATCAGGTACACCATCAAAAATAAGGAGAGTTAATAAGAAGAAGAATATTTCAGCTTGTGTGTGGATTTGGGTTGTGAGTTGTGCGAGTTTGAGAGTGTTTTGTAAACTTGAATGCTTTTCTTTTCCCATAATAAAATATTTGCAGTAGTCCGGAGACGTATGCATTGGCCAAACTTCGTTATCAATTTGGTGTGTCTAATTTTTTTTGCTTTTAATTCACTTTTATAGATTCCACTTCATAGAAATTCAATGTATGTTTCCCTAACAACTGGTATCAGAGCCACTGTTGGTAGCCCAGTTACGATGTAGATGGCGTGAAATGTTCCCCGTGGAGCCGGTGGATCCATGTTCC